CTCTCTCTCTCTCTCTCTCTCTCTCTCTCTCTCTCTCTCTCTCTCTCTCTCTCTCTCTCTCTCTCTCTCTCTCTCATCACATACAGTCTGTGCTAGGTAGGAAAGGATCAGAACGAAGCAGTTACTTTCTGCTCCATCGTCAGTCTGTTTTCACATTAGCACAGCCACAGCAACAGACCGTTCATAATCAATTTCGTTATTTTATAGTGATATCAGCAAGGGGTTGTGAAAGATATCAGCGAGGGGTTGTCGAAGATATCAGCGCGGGGTTGTCGAAGATATCAGCGAGGGGTTGTCGAAGATATCAGCTAGGGGTTGTCGGAGACAGCCCTGCACTTCTCTCTAATTTACCTTCCCTCTTTTGTTCCACCTGGCATCACTGGAAATGACACAGAGTGTGAGAGGAGTTCAGCTGTCAGTTCTCAGTATTGTAAATGGGATGGAGAGATAGTGAGAAGTTATATCAATCGATTGAGGGACGGCAGAGACCGAGAAAGCGTTATTTCTCCCCCCTCTCTCTGCTAAAGTGATGAGTATGAATGGACCCATCAGTTGTCAGACATAAGAGGTTAGGTTTCTAGGAGGGCATCAAAAGTATAACTGTGAATGCTGACCTGCTTCTGATTGTGATTGGGACAAGAGATTAGTTTATCCAAAGGACCGACGGTACCGAGTGGAAGGGCCGTCGCTCAACGGATAAAAGTTACTCTAGGGATAACAGGCTGATCTTCCCCAAGAGTTCAGAAACCGAGGATCCGCAATGTGATGAAAAGGACTGAATGGACAATGCAGTGCCAAGTAGAATCTCAACAAGCAATGTGCATTCTAATACATACAACATGGTGCTGAATAGCGCAGGGAAGACCTAGATACAAATCCTGACCTGACCGGGACTGACCTCATTCACATAGTATCAGATAGCAAAGCAGAATGCTAGAATGCTAATGACTAGCCCAATCAATGCTTGAGCGCAGACCAAACATACATCGTATCCATCACCAGGTGTGAAGGAGCCTGGCGCTGTACACAGGAAGAAAGTGCCAGGTCCAGACATACACAGACGAAGAGGAGGGGATCAGACGAAAGGAGGGAGAGAGATGGGAATGTCGTCAACACCAAGTCTTTGTCACAAGTCCCAAATAATCCCTCGTCGTAATGTCTGAAGCCCAAAAGTCGAGTCTGGATCCAATGTCACCAAGCTCTCTCTCTCACTCTTCTCTCGTAGTCTGCAGATGCAGTGAAGTCAGATAAGGAGAGGGTGAGAGGGAGATGGTGGACTGAGAAGAGGAAGAAGAAGAACTCTCTCTCTCTGTCACGAGCCAGATACTAACCTGTGATGTTGGCGCTGTGCTGCAGATACCTCGAAGACGAAGCTGGAGCAACGGCGCTGCAGGTACGTACCTCTGGCCTCCGCCCAATCTCTCTCTCTCTCTCTAGTGTTATCCTAGCTATGGCGCCCAGCGCTGGAGACTACAGCTACCTACTGCGCCCAGCGCTGAAGACTAAGGCTAACGCTACTACTACTCCTGCAGCGCTCCCTCCAGAGTGCTGCTGCCGAATCCTGAAGACTACTACTGCCTCCTGCCTGCCCGTGAAGTGCATGGGAAGTCCCTGTGTACTACCTCGGCCTGCCTCCTGACTGCCTGAAGGGCGAGCCAGGCCGAGGAGGCTGCTCTTGCCATGCCGAACTGTGCCAGGGGCTGGCGCTGCAGCATCTGCTGAGGCTGGCGTGGGAACAGGCTAAGAATAGCCTGTTCCCGAAACCCTGGTTTGGCGCCTGAGTTTCAGGGCCGGTCGTTCTGATGAACGACCGAAAATGGCCCTTCGTTTCAGGCTAAAAAGGCTATTGCCAATTTTAGTCTGAAACGACACAGGGACTGTAGGCCCCTGTTTTCAGGCTTTCGGGCTGAACAGTCACGGGGCCTGTAGGCCCTGGTTTTCAGGCTTTAAGCCTGAATTTCAGGCTTTCAGCCTGAGGGACGCAGGGCCTGGAAAATGGCCCTCGTGTGCAGGTGCAGCATGTAACACTAGCACTACCGGCAGGAGGTCCTCGATTGAATTTGACAATGATTGGGATCAGAAATGCATACAGAGAAGCTCCAGTGCATTAATATCCTCCTCAGAGACAACCAGATATACCAGGTTTCTCGCCAAGAATCAGAAGAAAACACACTCCAAAAAAAGTGCTGCCCGCTTCAACATCAACCACAACAACTCATGAGTTCTCAAGAGGCTAGCAATTCAGTTACGCGACATAGGCTTTTTTGGGGGGGGGTTGGTGGGGAGGGGTAACTCACATTCACATGGTTTGAGAAGAGCCTAGGAGAGGAATAAGGCTTACCTGTCAGTTTGTCCTGCTGCAAATGGTGCAACCAATGCTGTTCAGGGCCTTGTTTGGGCATAACAGATGGAAGCGTTTGGTAATTTACGCCCTGCTGGGGGGATAGGAAACAGTCTGCAGTGGTAATTTACGCCCTGCTGGGGGGATAGGAAACAGTCTGCAGCTCCGCAGAATAGAAAGGACCCAGGACCGTAAGGCCCTCTTCCGAAAGAAGAAACACACCTGGTAGCATGGAAAGGTTTTTTAGTAACTTTTTTGTAACTTTTTAGTAACTTTTTAGTAACTTTAGTAACTTTTTAGTAACTTTAGTAACTTTTTAGTAACTTTTTAGCAACTTTTTAGTAACTTTAGTAACTTTTTAGTAACTTTAGTAACTTTTTAGTAACTTTTTAGTAACTTTAGTAACTTTAGTAACTTTAGTAACTTTTTAGTAACTTTTTCGTAACTTTTATGCAATTTGTTATATAGTATAATTTTATACTCCAGCTCAGTCCGAAACTCGAGTTCAGTTGGATGTGTTATAAAAGTTCATCACAAGTTGAAACTTGAAACAAAATTGGTCACCTGCATCTCTTCAAAGAGAGAGAAATGACACAAAAATCGGACACTATGATTTCTTCCTCACAAGGTTCACTCTGCAGTACAGTTGCTATGATGCAACCCTACTTACACTTGGCAGCCCCCTTCAAGGATCAGATGATGTAATTTGCTGCAGCGAACACACGCACTTGCAAGGAATGAAGGATTTTTCTTTCATTAGCGATTTGCTATTGCCAGCGGAGCGTAATTTGCTTTCTACATAAGCGTCACCTTTCTTCGGTTCACCTCTGCAGCAACTTCCAGGATGAAGTCGATGAAGGGGACCTCATAGCCAGGGTTCTTGTTATAGCCTGGGAAATAGTTGACGTCTATGAGAACAAATCTATCACCGTTTGTCCCGCCCTCTGGAAGGAGATCGACATTGAAAAGCCGAAGCTTCAAACACCTTGTCAGTTCTGCTGATAAGCGCTCCAGAAATTCTGGCTCGGGGTTGCGAACCGAGTCATTCACCATGTCACCCTGTTCGACTGGGATGGACGACAATTTCGGTAAAGGGCGAATTGCACCGAGAAGTGGCTGCGCGTCAGGGTCGTCAGAAGCGATCTCGCCTATGTCTGGCACTGATCGCCGCCGGACGCATGTAAACGACTTTCCAATGACGTACAACTTAAAGCAAACCCCTCCATGATCGACAAATTCCTGAAGGAGGAGGGGAGGTCTGAGTTGGTCCACACCCTCCATGCGATATACAATTTGCAGATCATGTGACCCATCTATGGAGTTTGCCAAAGGCTTTACGATGAATGGCACAGATATGCCGGCTTCCGCAAGCATCCGCCGAATCGACTTGGTTGGTGTATGTGATTCGATTCGCACTTGCTTCGGTGTCACAACCTTGCCATGGAATTCCTTGAGGTCAAGCAGTTGAGCAGCTCGCAGCTGGTGCTCGCGATTGTCCAGAGCAAGTACTCCCTCTGCTGGCTCAATCAACTCCACATGTGGGTGTTGAGACTTGTAGTCCTCCATATCTCTGAACCAATCGCTATCGTTCCTCTTGTGCAAGATGATATCGAATGGCCCTTGTTCTACCAGTGGGATGCCTTGCTTTACTTCGAGGAACGTCACACCACGGCTCCTCGCATGTTCTAGAAACTTCGCCGAAAAGAAGTTCTTCTTTTTCCGGAAGGAAAAGCCCACTCTCACAACTTTTGATCCGCCAAGAGATGCCATTGTGGAAGCCACCGCAAGCGGGCTGCAATCCAACGTCAACCCCAATTTGTCAACACGCCGAACTGCAGGCACCCTTCTAGTTGAATCGATCTGGGTGAGACACGTGAGATCGCATCATGCCTTGCACACCTGGGTGAAGAGACAAGGGCAGGGACATGGCACACTACTCCATGATGCTCATGATTACTCAAGCACTGTCCCAACCCCACCACCACACTATGTTGCATGCCTATAAAAAAGCATGCTTGAGGCGCATCGATGCGCTGCGCGATGCGGTGCGGTGCGCAGCGCGCCGTGCACCCATCGGGGATGCGCGCATCGATGCGCGATCGATGCGCAGTGCGGGATGCGGGATGCGCGGCGCGGCACTTGGATGCGCAGTGCGCCAGTGCGCCGGGCAGTGCGCGTGCCGCGCGCATTTGCGCACATGGTGCGCTCGGGCATGGAGGGATGGGAAGGACAACGACGGAGGGAGGAGAAGATGGGTGACGAGGAAGGGAATGGAGGAGCGAGGAGGAGATCAATAGCGACAGAGGAGGGGGAAGGGAGAAGGGCGGAGGGAGGATGACGCCGATGATGGAGGGAAGGGGAGGACAACGACGAAGGGAGGAGGAGATCGATGACGAGGGAGGAGGAGATCGATAGCCAGGGAGGAGGGGGAAGGGAGAAGTGTGGAGGGAGGGCGACGCCGATGATGAAGGAGGGAGGGGGAGCAGCGGTGCACTATTAAAAATTTCATATATGAAGAAAAAAAAAAAAAAAAGGACGACATGATGAAGGAGGGAGGGGGACGACAGCGATGGAGGGAGGAGGAGATCGATGACAAGAGAGGGAATGGAGGAG